TCAACTATAAAAGTATATGCCTACCTCGTCAATCACAAGGAGTTTCAGCTTTCCCAGATGTGAACGGAGTGCTTGCAGCTTCTCACAACTTGGTGGTAGGTACTCATTGTCCTTTTTTGGTCCACATGTAAACCCAAGAGCAGAATGTAATGTCATGCCTTGAATGCCGAAGGCAGCGGTTCCAGTGAATGCTGTGAGCAGCAGTGGTAATTCGTTGGGCTGGAAATACTGTCCAGAATGTGGTATGAGGAGTGACATTGTCAAGTGGCGTATCAGCTTTATCACATGACTCTTGCCTACCCCTCCTGGCCCACTGAGGAAGAGCATATACTGCGGATATTTTGTTTCTGTTTCAGGGCAGAAATCATATCCTTGCACCACCGACGATGATACATCACAGCCTCGAACTGTTTTCTATTCAGCGACCGCATCATACATCTGTACTCTTCAGGTGTCATCAGCCCTTTGTTCAGCTCTGATGTATAGCGTGCGTGCAATTCCGAATTATTGTTACTCATTTCGTTAGCGGCCAAATCAATGTTTTCACATCCATCTTCCACAGGCAGATCTCTTTCTTGGACGACACCTTCATTTAACTGTTCTGACTGTAAGAATTGCACATTTGGCGATACATCATTCCACATGTCGTCCATAGGACCCATTCGCTGCAAGTCGTCACACGCCTCCTCGATTCTAACAGCATTGATGCTAAATTTTGATTCATTAACATGTACAGTGTCCTTCGCACATTCATAATGGTCTTTGAAACAGTTGAAGCCACCTTTGAGATCAACGTTTTCATTTCTCCATGGCAGGTACAGCATCAGCAAATTCCTGTACCTTTCTTCATCATCCTTCTTCTCCTTATGGAACCTGACGATGCAGTGGCGTCTACGTTTCCTCATGTTGCCGAGTCCATTACACAATCTGATTACATCCGGATACCTGTCAGGGATACTGCCGTATTCACTTCCAGTTATACCATCTTCGCCACAGTTGTCTTCTTCATATGGCACGTCATTATCATTTTCTTCTAATTCTGACCTACTTTTCTTTGCAACGGTGTATGTAGCCGCAAATTCCACCAGACACATATCCTCCAGGTCCAGAGGTCTGGAGACATAGCGGTCTATGAGTGACGTGCAGAATATGTTTGTGTCCTCGTCTGTCATATCTTGCAGAATATTTTTGGGCTTTAATATTGAAACACGCTTCTCTTTGGCTGCACTGTTGACAAAGACAACCTGCCGACTTGCCTTTTTCAGAGGCATAGACAGCACCCTAAAGGCAGCTTCTTGTGCTGAAACCTCTCTGTTATTAAGAAAAGTCGACCCAAGTTTTCTCAGTCTTTCTTTTACATCTTCTCCCTTACTTTCTACCGCCACTTTCTTTAATAACTCACTCATACTTCTTTCTGATTTAAGCATATAACTGGTAATGTACATAATGCAGGCATAGACATCAAGGATATATTGAATGTCCATGTTGGCTTTCCACACTCGCAGAATGTGTGGGTTATAGGAGTTAATGAATCGCTCTGATATCTTGCGCTGAAGAACAACCTCCTTTCCTGATCTCACTATCTTTAGAACTTTGTGGTAGAAGTCGGGATCAACTTGTGCTTCAAGAAGTAAATTTCCCAATGATAGGTCTTCTTCATCACTGTGGGCCTCCAACACTGTTCGTACTTGTTGTAATGTATCTGACTTGATTTTGAGTTCCTTCTCTATGTTTGCTACATCGGCATGTGTGTTTTGTCTGGCAATTAATGTTTCTCTACTTGGGGGTCGAGGATATCTAAATCTACATGATTGGCCTTGTTTGCAGGTAAACGAGTGGTTGTGCTTTTGTAGCGATAACACCAAATTCCTTAAATCATCATCCTCTTCTGGAATTGCACACGTCTGATGTTCACTAATGAAATTTGTCACAACTTCATCACTGTCAAGGTCAACCTTTGGCGCGTCCTTAATCCAGAGGATACTATGTGCGTGGGGTGCCCCTCTTGCCTGAAATTCAATTCTTATCAAGTAGTCTTGGAGGTGTCCAATCGGCTTTCCCTTTCCTCCAATGAACTCCTTGAAAAAGGCATTGAGCCGGTAGCTGAATTGCCGAGCAGCAGTCACAGGATTACGGCGTAACCAACTGCATTTTTCTTCATAGTTCATGTTTTTCACATCGTCAGCTGTCAGAAATTTGCCATACTGACGGGCAATGCTTCCAATGACTTCAGGCCATTGCATATCTGCGGCAGATAGCGTCAGGAAAAACGTTGGCAACCCTAGCTGTCTTACCATTGCCAATAACTCTAGCAACACATTATTCCAATATGGCGGCGACCCCCGAATATTCTTCATGAACTTGATAGCTGTGTCAGTCCGCAACATGTCATTGATGTTGTTCAAATTTTTCATCAACCCTGCATTGACCGTCTGTCCTTGGAATGTGTGACCACGTGTCTGACGCAAAAATATCTGGATGCTGTCCTTCATTTGCTTGGCTTCAACTGCGTATTGTGCAGCGAAAAGGTAATCAATATCTTTGGCAAAACGTCCGTCCACATGTAGCAGCCTTTGATTGAAAAACTTTCTGGGGGTTATATGCTTGCTACGTTCTTCGCTGAAACCTCCTTTGCCAAAAGGATATTTCTCCGGGTTTGCGAGGACCTCGAAGTGCTTGTCTGAGAAGAAAGGACATGGTTGTTGATTTTCTCCAGGCGCTACAGAGTACGTCCTGTCGCTGTCATCTATGACTTGTTCGTGTTGTAACAGAGTATCGTATGGGACACCCTGTACTTTGCTTGTCTGTTCAAATGCGATTCTATCCTCTTCATCTTCCATCTCCTGTCTTGTCTCCTGTGTTGACTCTGTGTCTGCTTTTTCCAGTGCAACGTAGTGTAGCTCCCCCATCAAGCCGAGCGTTACGGTATTTTCACTCCTTCCCTGCTTTGGACAGATTTCAGTTATCCAATCTGTAGATGACGTTTTCGTAATTTCAATGTTTACATTCAACATGTCTGCGGCACCTTGCACTGCCAGATGGTCCGCCCATTCTCCACTTCTTAATCCATCTAGATAGACTTGAAATTGCTGATGCTGTTGTGGGGTTGAATTTTCTTCACCTGATGTATCTATGACATTAGGAATTGAGTGAAAACCGAAGTACGACTCTACGTTTTCTGTAGTTTCAAAATAATCTGTAAGTTTTGTTCTTAGCTCGGGTCCACTGACATGCTGTAGACCAGCGGTATGAAGGCACCACGACATAGCATGAAAAAAGCAGTTTCCATCACCGGGGACATCTCTAATCTTTAAATTTCGCCTCTGTGCCAGTTGTTGTAGTGTCTCATAGTAATTGGGGGGTGAAGGTGTTGGAGAGACTGGGCATACTGAGAAACCACTGTCAGTGTTCTCTTCTTGCTCTATGTCCCTTTCAGGAACAGCAGTGGTCATTGCTTCCCATAAATCACCTTCATTGTCTTTCCACTTTTCCTCCCAGTCTTCACAAATAGAGATATCATTGTACAATGGATTGTTCTGTTGCAACCATCGTAGTCCTTTCATAACACACTGTGGGCGAATATATTCATACATGTGGTGGCCCTTATAACACAGTTTTCGTTTTAGCTTTAATGCCACCACTTCTGCAGTTTCTGGTAGTCTGGGCAGTAAGGATATAACTGGCTGTAACTTAGACGGTACATTGACAGCAGAGCCTTGGATGGCCTTTTGTCCTCCTCTGGGCAACCCCACCATCTTCATAAACGCAATCCGTTGGCTTATTAGTCTGACTTCTAACGGTCGTAAGTCCTTCAGTTCCTCCGGTATGGCATCAAGTGCCATATCATTAGCCCATGATTGGGTTGGAACATTCCCTTTCTTAAGTGATGCATGGCAAGTTCTACATATCCAGGATTTTCCATTAGTTTTGATGCCATTTCCAGAAGTGAGTACTTTCTCTGTGACTTCGTTCGGTGTGTAGTTTCCAGCTTTAAACCCCAACACTGTACATTTGTACAGAAGTCGAAGGCAGGAAACACAGACATATATAGGGCCTTCCTCTATTTTCGAACAAAAGATAGTACCACATTGGTCGATAGATGTTTCATTGTTTTTTGAGAGTTTTCTACGTTTTGTCATACTAGTTCTCACAGCTGCAAGGCGTCTGTTAGTCTCCTGTGGTGTTTCTGTTTCCCTTCTCTTTTGCTTGTGTGTTCTCTGAGCTTCGAGTCGTTTTTCTCTGATTTGCTGAGTTTCTTGTGTCCTTTCTGCTGCATGTGTGTTCTCTTTGCTGCAAGTCTTTTTTCTGTTGCCTGTGGTGTTTCTTCTTTTCTTCTCTTCTGCATGTGTGTTCTCTTTGCTGCGAGTCGTTGTTCTGTGGCCTGTGGTGTTTCTTCTTTTCTTCTCTTCTGCATGTGTGTTCTCTTTGCTGCGAGTCGTTGTTCTGTGTCCTGTGGCGTTTCTTCTTTCCGTTTTTGCTTCATGTGTGTTCTCTTTGCTGCGAGTCGGATGGCAGTAGCCTCTGGTGTCTCGTTTGATCTATATTCTTGCATTTTTGCCCTCTTCCAATCCCGGCGTGTCTCAGCAGCTTCTGGTGTTGACTCCGCTATTTTTCTCTTCATGCAAGTAGCGCTTTGTTTTCGTCTTTGATTCCACTACTCTTGGACTTTGTCCGAGGCATAGTTGACACTGTATTTCTCTCTTCAACAGCAGAAAGAACTAATGCAGTTCCCACAAAAGACTGGAAGCAAATTAAAACAACCTTGTATAATTCTGATCCTTTCCCCAACATCTTACTTTTCCTTAATGACATGCTCAAAGCCATTCTTCACAGTTCTGAAGTTTTAATGATCTTTAATTCAATTATTTGTGATAACAAAAATGCCAATTAACTCCAATTTCCTGTTATCAATTATATATTCAAAACAACAACAGCTTTGTGGAGTAATTTAATGTCAAATCTGGGTCATTGGTACCCCGGGTGAATTTTGTCACATGCCATCACAATTAATTTTCCAGCTTTAATCATGTTTGAAGGGAACATGATAAAACATTATTCTTTAGTACCGGTAACTTAAAAATGCATCAACCCTTAATTGAATATAGTTAGTTCTGTTAATATGTCTATCTACATGTCAACTGACAAAGAAAGGAAATGCTGGAAAAGTGTAAAACTCCATAGATACTACCATCAAGTAATGTATTAAGGGTGAATCATAGAGATAATCCCAAGGTAATATTTGGTATCAATGTCAATGACTTCTTATACTAGGAGGTAGCAATACAGAAGGTAACGAATGATGCACTTTACCACCTGTACTACTACTCTGTGAAATGCTGGAGCCTGTCTGAAATATCAACACAAATTCTGAAAATAGACTCTGTGTACAAAGGAACAACCTCTAGAGTAGAGACTCACAGTATTAGACAGCCTGGCAGCTTGTGGGCGTCAAGCTGTCAAATGTTCCTGGGAAAAAGTTATCGACACCGTACCGGTCCCTCCCCAAGGTCAGGGCCCCTGCCTGTGTCAGTAGTGCTTTCCCCCAAGGTCACTCAGAATGGTGGGAACATACACTCGAGACAGCGCCTATGGCATGTTTAGATATTGTGTGCATATTTAGACTGCTTACGCCTATTAAATGTCCATTCTATTGTTGTTCAGAGCAAAGAGGTTTACAAATCAGATACATGTAGCAAAATGAATCACTTGATACAAATGTAAACAAGTCGTCAGCTCATTTCTAAGGCAGAAACTTGGGATTATTTCTACAGTTCACCAACAAAACATACCCATTTCGTTTAAACCTCTAAGGAGGGGGGCTTACCTGAGCACTATGATGACGAGTGGTGGACGCTCCTGGACACACAGAAACGTTGCGAGGAAGACTGCATCAGGCATTTCTCGATCGACTGCATATCACAAAAAGATATTCTTTTGCCCGTGCTCTCGCGGTGGCGTACTGCGATGAAATGGTTGCAACAGACTGTGCCTTTGTTTTCACTCCTACTTCTTCCCCAGCTGTTTCCTATCATCTGCCGGCTGAGGCTGAGAAGAGTGACCTGAAGGTGACCTTAAGGTCATGCCTGGTCTAAAGCAAGGACTTATGTTTCAAAGCTCCTGCAGGCAGTTATAGAATTCCCATATTAATTATGGAAATTCATTACTATTTTGCATATTTGTTATCTAATTATGTAAATCCTCACAGAAGCTACCTACATACCAAAAATCACGGCGATCCGTTAATCGGTTCTTGAGTTATCCTCCACCGAAGATTTTTTTAAACAACCGACCCTGCAGTTCCAGAACAACCTGCTAGGGGGCCCAAACTCATGTCACTACTTCCCTAGCCCAAGAGCTTTCTACCACAAAAAATTTGTGACCCTAGCATGTCCAGATCAGGAGATATCAAAACCGGAAGTTCTGCTGCAGTACCTAGGAAAGCCGCCAGGGGGCCCAAAATCTAATCACTTCTAGGTCTCATTAAGACCTACCCACCTACCAAGTTTCATTCCAATCCATCCACCGCTTCTCGAGTTATCTTGCTAAACCACACACAAACACACCCACCCACACACACACACACACACAGACAAACGCTACTGAAAACATAACCTTCTTGGCGAAGGTAATAATTATGTCTCAAATCACAGGTATGTGTTATATATAAGTGACACACTCTAGCATTGACCAAATAATATTTTCAGGCTTTGTCGTCAGATTTTCTTCAAGCAGTAAAGGTGGTATACCCACACTAATACAAGTATACTTGTCATTTAATTATGTTTAAGTTTAAACTTCAAGTGTCATACTTTATTACTATGGCTTGGTATGACAAATGTAAATACTATTACTAGTTCAGTGCTTTATGAAAATGATGGAAGTACTAGTATTATGTTGCCTCATTGTATGACTTACACAAATAAGTGTCAGATTTTTTGGTCCGAATAAAAATACATTCCTTATTGTGATGCTATGAGGAGAGATTTTACATCTGGGAAATATTATTTGGTATAATTTTAAGACAGTAACATGCAGTGTAGAGAGCTAGGTATAGGGCAGGCATCACTATTGCATTTCACATTGCGATTGTAGTCCCTAGTTCATGTCTTTAAAAATCTTCTCTTTTTTTCTCTCTGGAAAATTTTGGTCCAGTTTGGAGATTTTGGGGGCTAGAAGGAACATTTAGGGTCTAAGTTTGAGTCAGAGTTTGAGCTGGTCAACCCCTTGTTTTCTTTCTATATTTGTGAGGCAGACTCTTGTGGCTCTCTGGTGCAGAAGAATTTTTGAGATTGAAATGTGAGAAAGCACTTTCATGAAGACTTATTTCAGTGTATTTAACCAGAGGTTTCTACGGCCAAAGGTGTAATTGTACTGACTGCCCAATAGTAGTACGTGCAAGACAAGCCGGAACCACACATCTGTTTGGAGATAATTCCGATGTAGTGGAACATGTGACGTCACCGACCAGCTGTCATGACGTGTCAGAGAACATGTCTGTGACGTCACACGGCCACGCCCTGTCTCTGCGGGATGCCGCACATGATTACGTCACGTCCAAAAATACCACAAATGCCGCGCGTTCATATAAGGCACTGTTGTCTCAGGCAGTCTCTGTCCCTTGAATTGGAAAAATATGATAGCTGATTAAAAATCTGAGTGAGTGAGAGGGAAATATAGTATTAGTAAAAGCAGTACTGCTCTAGTAAAAAAAGGAAACTTGTGTATAGTTTATGATAAGAAAAGATTAAGAAAAGTTCAAATACTGTATCTGAACATACACGTTTCGTATGATAAATTCCGAATTTTATGGAAGCCCCCGTTATGCGTTTAGTATGGTTAACAGATTTTCTTAACTTTTATTCCAAGTAAGTTTCGTCGGTGTTTTGAACAAAAAAATCTCCATGCTGCTACTAGAGAATTTTTCCAAAGATATAAATCAATTTTAAACTGACACGTCGCTATAATGTGACGCTATCCCCGGGTTTCCCTTGTTTCTGCCCGGCCCGACAGACAAGCCCCTATATGGGTCTTCCAAGTTCATATCAGCCGAAAGCGGATCGGGTGACCATCTGAGCACGGTGTCAGGGGAAGGACGGCAAGAATTCCCACCCAGTTTTCTCTCAAATCTGTTTCTCACGGAACTCGTTTCAAGAGCTGATACAGAAATAATCACCCACGACATTCTTCTCTCCACATTGCTGTCTAAGGTGAGTGTATTCTGCTAATTTCTGCGTGATTTTTGAGTGAAATATGATTTGAATGGATTCAGGTCTGCGTCGTTGCAATTATGATTGCTGAGCGGATGGGGGCGCTTCTGAGTGACTGACAGGCACAGCTGCGTAGGAGAGGGAGGGGTGAAAAGAGATAAAAGATGTTTTGTTGATTCGTTTGATATTTTGTCGTTCCTTCAATGTTGCTTTGTTCTGTATGTTCCACAGTATCTGATCCTTGAATTCCTTGATCATTGAAGGGACCATAAAAATTGTGCAGTTTGTGATACGTGGAACGCTCTGGAGAAATTACTACTGATTATAAATTACAGTATATAATAGAGCATGTGATTTAAAGATGGCGAATTCATTTTGTGAATTTTCAAAGAGAATTAGAAATTGAATAGCTCTATATTGCTTTGAAGATGGTAGACATATTATAGAAGTACAGTACTAGTACATGTAAATCTTTTGGTGTACATATAAATAAAGTTTTGTATATACACATTTACACATATACTCATTTTCTAACGGAAAAAATAAGTTCTCATCATTTAGGGAACATGAAAACCAAAAGTGCTATTAATTAAGAAAATATTTCAAGAACAATATCTGTTATTTTGGAAGAAAATTAATGGGTTTTCAGGATGGTGCCCCCACCCCCTCCCCTTTCGCGTAAACGACTTTATCTTCATTTTAATCTTTATATCGTTACACACATGTCTGACACGTGTTTGCCCTAAAATTCTGACAGAATATTTCAGATGACTGTACCGCTATAGGGTCTTACCATACTAATTCTAAACGTACATAGAAGTCGTAATTCTTTACGGCTGTGTAACTGACTTGTACATGGTAAACCGTGAAGGAGTACGTTTTGTATGAACATAAGGCCATGAATTTTCGTTTCCAAAGAAAAAAACATACTTTAAACATACTTTAATACTACAAAACAGTTGCAAAATAAGCAAATATATACTGTAAGTTGCAAAAAAATGCAGAATGCCAAAATCAAACGAAAATGACGAAAATGTAAAGAAATGAATTTGAAGAGTAGAATATTCGCCATACCATACACTGTGTCATTTGTTCAACCTTCATGACCACGTAGATTTCATAATGAAAACAACTTGCTTTTTTTTGTCAATTTTTTTTTATTCGCACGTGCGCATCATGATCAGTTTTGGGGTTCCCAGAGGATGCCATCCATATAATCATGGCCTAACGCTCTATAATTACATGGTCCTACACTGCTGTACCGCCGAACGTTACTGGGAGGTCTGACACGAATACTTGAAGCTTGACTCGCAGATCTAAAATTGGTTAGAGGTCATGCCGACGACATATTTCAAGGTCACCGTCCTCTTGGACATCTGGTTGTGACATTAGTGTTTACATGCGACTATTTGAAGTCACCTATTTCTCTGACAAGAATTTTTACATTTCACGATGTGTATCTTTCTAACAGGAGACAGAAATATCGCACAACGGTGAATAGCGTCATCTAGCGAGAATAATGGAAACTCCAGCAGCAATAGACGGCGAAGACGCCACCACGCCACAACAATCCTCCCAGCCAAAATCCGCCTCGTCTGCCCGGGCCATCCACCGGCGGATCCAGCGTGCGCACGCCAAGAATATCCGCTACGCGCTGCATCTGGACACCTTACAGGTGTACGTACAGGAGCGGCTCATCCCCATGGGGCTAGACCTGAAGAGGAAATGCCAGCCGACCATCGGGAGTCAGAACACGGACTTCGTGCGCCGCTGGGTGGAGATTCTGGACGCGGCGTCGCAGAGCCTGATGGACATGGTGATCGAGTACAGCGCGCAGATGGTGGCGGAGTCTGACGACGAGATCGTCCGCCTGACCGAGACTCTGCAAGCCGTCACCCTGGAGAGCGAGTTCGAGCAGTTTCAGGTGGCTTTTTCAGATCCTCACATGAAAGACTCTTATTACAACCACGTTACATTTGTAGTACCATAGAGCATTGGACAGTAAGATTTGTGTAACACAGACTATATATATTATATCGGCATGGTTTTAACTCCGATTTCTACTTCCAGGAGACTCTAGAGAAGTACAACAGCAAACTGCGGAAGAAGATCGAAGAACAGAAGAAGAAGAAACTGGAGAGAGACCGGCTGATGGCCAAGGAGAAGAGCATCACGGTCTACAAGGAGCACCGTCTGTCCATCAGCAGCGGCAGCAGCGGGAGTAACAGTAGCATTGACCAGTTGGACGTCTTCGCGCCAGTCATGGGCGCTATACAACAACATCACTATCAACAACAACAAACAGAGCATGCTAGCGCACCTATGAACATGAATATGGTACGACACAAGTCGCCGACCCCGGAGTTTATAGTCCCGCCTGCTATCGCTGAAAGGACGAGACTTCGACCCGCGTCTGCCCCTGAGTTTGTGCCGCCGCCGAGTCCTCAGTTACCGGAGAAATCGACCAGACATTCGGTACACTTTGAGCTGCCTTCCCCTGATCTAAACGCGAGGAGACACGAGTACAGCCCGCCGCAGCGCGGGAGCAACAACCCCGGGCTGAGGCCGCCTCCGAGCCCGAGGAACCCGCGCAAACAGATCGGCAGCGGGAGGATAGTGGAACCCAAGAGCCCGAGGCCCAGGAGAAGCAACAGGTCCTCTCGCGGCGCGGAGACGCAGCACCGGACTGAGTCGCAAGACGGCGCTCCTGTCACGCCGAACACGCCGAGAAAGCATCGCCAGGATTCCGCGTCCAGAAATTCTCAGCCGCCGCGTCCGAACACGACACCCCGTCAGAGGAGAAGGGATTTCAATCCAAAGAAAACATGACGGCCAAAAGGAACACATGAGACGACGTATGAAAGAGTAAAGTTATTTTCTGAGAAAATGTGCTCGGGAAAATGTAACGTTAAACATTAGATGCACAAAACAGCAAACAAATCAACGCAGAGAACAGATCGAGCAGCAAGAAATAGAGGATTGTCGACGACATTTTTTAATAGCCCTGCAATCTTCACAAATCTATGCCTTCAAACGTAACACAACAAGAGTTTTCTCCAAAATATGCAATATGGGGTGTGCATTTTTTCAAGGGCACGTGGGAAGAGTTATACAAAGCGTTTATCATTGAAGTTGAAGCATGGAGGTAGAACTTTTTCTACCTCCATGGTTGAAGTAATAAGTAATGCCTTATACTGGCAGTCGTTGTAAATGTTAATTTAAAACTATCGCGCAGATGCACAAGCGGTAGATGAGCGGATGAAGTAAGGTTCACAATTTCCATGTAATCTATTGGAAACAGAGTTTAAAAGTTGAGTTTTCTTCAACTCCCCCGCAGTTTTATCAATAGAATAATCCGAATTAGATTTAGAACGTAAAAAAAAATTCAATGAATTCCTTAGCTTATATTTACAGAGGAAAGCTTTCTCTACATCGTGTTGATTAATATCTGTCGTTCGTATTCTTTTTTACTAATATTGTATTCATCAACTAAATAAAATATTTCACCCATGCACTGTTGTTCTTATATATATTATACCTTTGTCGACTGCATTCTATATATTGTGTTTACTTCGACACGTTTGAGGAGTACTGTACATTTCTTAGTCACCACCCAGCGGTTTTGTCGCGAAGTGCAGAAACATTAACGCTACCTTCCCACCGGGCGTACGTGAATATTTGGGTGTATCAAAGTGAGAAAAATATATCTGCGAAGCTAGAAAAGCACTGCTACATTGTGCGAACTACAGGAGGCTGAGACAGGGGTTATGAGAGTCGGAATAGCGGAAATCAGTGTCCTTGGATCTCCCCATCCTACCCTTAAGGCTTTATGACAACTTTATTCCTCGGAAGGTTCAATCAGAATATGTTATTGCGTTGACTCCTTCGTCAGATATCACTTGATCACGTTTTATGCTCGCAAGGAGTCACGGAAAAGTGAAACCTTACCCTGTAAAATGAAATTGGATCCCCGCTAGCTGCAAGTTATGGTTCGTCCAAGATGAAAAACCGATTCCTCGGGCATTTCGAGCTCTTTGTTGTTCCGAAAAATGTCCTTCCGCATTTTTGAATGTTGGGACGACACGCGAACATAAATACTATACCGTACGTGCCCGTAAAACTTAATAAAAACACTCTCTATAAACCCCCTGCCGAGCCTCCCACGTTCTCTTCAACTCGACATCCTAGCTTGTCTGTTGTTGGAAATATTTCCCAATGTCTCTAATACAAATGAACGGAGCTTTGCACATACGGTTAGGCAACCCCTCTCCGAGCCTTTCCTCCTTAGTTAATCCACCACTTCAGAAACCTCCATCACAGCCTCCGTTCGGGAATCTTCTTCCACGCGATGATTTCATCCCGGCATGCCGCGCGCGTGTTAAGCACTTGTGTTCGTGTAGACTGAAGCACAGACGCGTCCGACAAGCCCCAGGCGTGACACGCACCCAGACCGACACTCCCCCGACAACAACCAGACAGTCACGACCAGTACACGCACGCGACATGGCTAAATCGGTAAGTAGACAGATGCTTCTTGTCGTGACACTATAGCCATCGCGTGATACGTATCATGAAACCTTTCGTTACTCACTTAAAGGGAGCAAGGTTGGAGACATATTATTGTGAGGTCGAATCACTGATATGTCTGGGTTTCCTACATGTATATTCAACACAGAGAAAGAAGGCGATAGGTGATTTCTGGGTTGTTTTTTTTTTACACCAAACGGCATAGCACAGAGGGTAATTTTTGGAACTGTATGGGTAAGCTTGTGTGAGATTTTGCCAACCCTTTCCTTGTTTAATTTTCTAGAAGGTGGTTTTATCATGTAAACATCTGTGCCGGCGTCGCAAGTTTAATAGAGCCGGCCCCGCTGCACATGAACATATCTCATGTGTTATCCTGTGTGACAAAATCAGATGATGAAAGGCTGGATGTTATGTGAATTGTGTAGGGAAGCCGCTGTGAGGTTTCGGCGGGCCTTCCCGTGCCTGTAGCTCGGTGATTTGGTATGTGCTGCGTGTTTTCTTCCTCCCGTGGCGCGGTGCCAAGTTCTGCGGCTCTCAACCAACACGATAAGGCGGGATCGTCTGTTAGCCCCGCTAGTCCCTCATCTTCAAGCAGATATACGCTCGGCTCTGTGTTCTACGCGTGTTTTGAGGATTTTTATGCGTCTTTTTAGTCCCCCGTTTCTTTCTCTGTCTTCTACTCCCAAAAGAGAAAAGCTAGCTACTAGAAAGACGTATAAGTCATAAAACACTGAGACGGACCATAATTCTGCTTGTAGATCAGATATATCTCACACGCGAAAACATCATACTATACGTCAAAGCCAGTCATATCATAGATTTCTTTCATAGATTCATCTACAGTGCTATAGAGGGAGGATTAATTTGATCTAGAATCTGAAAGCGTTTTGAAAGCTTCTATCAACATGATTATGTTTGGGGAGCAGGTGGGCCATCGCTTCTAGTTTGGGCTTTTTCAGTACGTTCTCTGGTTATTAAATAAGGTTGGAGCATTGTCAAGTTTCATGTTACACATTTCCAACTGCAAAATGTCGCCGTAGCTTTACGCCGTACAAAATGGCAAAGTTACAGATTGGCAAAACAGGAAAACATTGACCATAAAGCATGGCCTGTGTTCTCACGTGTATTATATCAACAAGTGCGTCGATTGTACAGAAGTGGTGTTCTGTTTTGACCTTCTGAGTGGTTGAAGTTTGGAGTTGTTACTCCGTGAAGGAGGTCAGGACCTCCGGACGGAGTGTTGTGATCGGCTGATTTTTCATGTTCGCAGTCAAAACACTGGGTTCTCTTTGTGTAATCGGCACGCAATTTTATACGCCGTCTGCGGGCATGCCCGTGTTGATGCACAATGTGTATTTTTGCCGTTGCTGCTTTCGCGGTCAATGTAATATTGCAGACGCACCCCTACAATTACGAGGCAAATTGGAATGGTCCAGAAAAACGCGTTGTTTGGAATAGCAGTGGGGGGGGGTGGAACTTCATGCAGATACGGGGTGGTTTTGATAAGTGGTTCCAGATGTTTTTGCCCATGCTCAAGAGATGCCAAGTTTTTTGGAAGATGTTCGCAGCCAAAACGCATTCTTCCGTACGTCGCATTTCTGTGTAATTTCGCATGTGGTGTGGCATTATGTCCGGGATGATGCACGTCTTTTATTTTTACCGTAGCTGTTTTGATATTGAAGTAAATGCATATTTTAGAAACATCCCTACTTTTACAATCCTGTGGAATAGGCCGTAGGTTTAGGCAGTTGTCTGGTAGCAGAGGTACTCTAAGCAGATATCCTGGTTATCTGGCCGGCGGTAGTAACACTCGCGGTGCTTACCGCAACTGTTGCTGGAATTTGGCCTGTTCCAGGCGCGCTTAATTAGGTACAGGCACGGTAAGACGGTGGGGCTGTCTTTGTTACTAGACACGACCATGATAGTCCGATCTTTATGTGAATGCAATAATTGTGTGTGTGTAATTAAAATGAACTTCGAACTTGAAGCACAGTATCTTTACACGCCCTGGGAGCAGTAATGGATTTAGCTTTTTGTATGTTTTATGCTTGTGACGCGCCCTCATTGTATTAACCGTTGCCTAATTACAATGTCTGCACAGTAGGTCTGGCATTGACGCTTGGGATTTTGTTGAAATATATAAAACTTCACGGAGGATTGTCACCTATGGCTTCTTGTTGTTTTTTTTTTGCAGTCAGATATCGATCTTTGAACATGGCTGTCACAGAACAGAATTTAACAGTCCTGTACGTGTAGCCTACTTTCCAAGCAGAGGTTTGAGTTTTGGCTTATTTTTGGCGTGTTTTAGGCTTTTTTTATCGAGGTCTCTTTTTTGCACTGGATTTTATTTTACGCCAAACCCAACCAAAAAATTCCAGTGAAAAAAGAAACCCCGATAAAAAAGCCTAAAAAACGCACCACAAATACCCAAGCCTCTGCTTGGAAGAGTACATGTATGATGTAGCCGTCCGTTTATTTTACTACATACAACAGGCTTAAGACAGAGTGGTTCGTGCAAAAGTGGAGAATTTATTTCCCAAGAACTGTTGTAAAGTGGCCCGTTATCATCAAATATATAGGAGCTATAGGGTCCTGTTCGTTATATAGCTTTAGATAAAGCCTAGAGTTAGATATGCAGTCGCGTGCCTACTCAAAGCTGGTACATTACGCCGTTATACCGGTGTACTGTTTTAAGTTTGTTCAAGCCTTCCAGCGGTAGATATTCTCCACTCGGCCACGTGAATTGTCTGGGGTAATGTTTAAATTTCCTCTGGCGGTCTGCTTTAAAATTTCTCCCGTTAGTATCCGCTGGGTGCCAACATTAATTTTGTGGCCGACTTTTTTGTTTCCTTTTTGCCGATGGCGGCGCGTAGGCGGTGGATTTCCACAGAACACACGGGAAAACAAGTAGTGTCTGAGACCAGACGTGTTCTCTCATGTAAGCATAGACTTGTGCACACTTGGGGAAATTTCTATCTGTAGTCAGCCGGTATTACCCGGTTTCTACCAGACACGTTTTCCCAAAAAAATTGTGGAATTTGCCCGACCAGGCCTAGGGTCCTATATAACACGACTAACTCCAATAGAAAATGATTCAGTTGCACAGCAAAGTTATGATCATAACTTTACTTAGCTTAGGTTTCAGGGGTTTACGTCTAACATTAAATATGAAATATGCGATATGATGTGGTGTGATATGAAATGATATATGATATATGATATATGATATATGATATATGATATATGATATATGATATATGATATATGATATATGATATATGATATATGATATATGATATATGATATATGATATATGATATATGATATATGATATATGATATGATATGATATGATATGATATGATATGATATGTTCGCAGTTCACTCAAGAAAAAGGATACGCTATATCAATAATGTATGCCCATATAAGTTACCACATAACTGATAAACTATTTATTGCTTGAATGTTATGAAGGGA